TTTCCGGGGCCTCTGGCGCGGAGCTGCGGGCAGTCCAGGAGAGCTCGCTCCGAAAGAGGCCACCGTGCCAGCAGCCAGTGCTGGTCGGGGGAGGACACCCCACCCCCCTCCCCCCACACACGGGGAGGCCCGTCTTGGCCGAGCTCGCTCAGCCCTGCGAGGTGGCCGTCTCGCCTCTCCCGCTGCGAGCAAACGGAGAGAAGGTGGGCGCTCCCGCCCAGAGCAACCACGGCGCTAAAGCCGGAGCCAGTCCCAAGGACCCGTGGCAGAACCAGTCAGTGTCTGCTGGGCTGCGGGAAGCCAGAGATAATCAGTAAGAGGCACAGAAATTGAACCAGAGTAACCAGAGGCCATGGGGCTGTTCATAAAGGTTCCTCTTTTGTTTTCTTTCTTCCAAAACTGCAACCAAGCTCCAGCAACAAAACAAGCCCCAAGTAATAAACAGTACCCTAGCACTTCACGGAAGGGTTGGTGGAAGGCCAGTGCTTTGAAGACTGATGTAGCTATAAGAATACGCATTTAGGATCAAATTAGAGCAGTGCAGTAAGATCTAGAAGTCAGCTGAGCAATTCCAGGACACTAAGCCACCTTTTGCATCTTTTTAAGTACTTGCGGCTGGGCCTAGCCGTAATTCTTGCTAACGGTGCAAGGCGCTGCTAGTTTCTTTAGCACTGATGTGTCAGTGAATACAGAGGTGGAGCTGGCCTGCAGAGAAAAAACAACAGTTAACTGATGCTTCTCCTTTCTGTGTTGCTTACTCAATGTTTGCTTGTACCAAATACAGCGCAAGCTCTTTGTTAATTACAGACAGAGAAAAAACTCGGTTTGTTTAAACATCTGTGCAGTAAGCACTGCTGATAACATTGTCTCTCAGGCTGTAACGACATCCCTGCAACAAACCGTAATTTGCGTTGGAAGTGTATCCTTGCAATCTTAAGAGAAGTTTTAGTTTCTAAAATATTTTCCTCCCAAGTTTCCTACTACATATATTCAGTACAAGTCTGAAATGGAAGTACATTCTGGAGAACTACCTAATGAACTAAACCCACCTACTTACACAGTTATATTTCCCAAAGCATGTAAGTATTTGTATACATATATGAGAGATCTAAAGAACCCTGGAAGGATATTATATAGCACCTGACATTTAAATTTTGGTGGGATAGAGTTCCCCTGTTGAGTTTTCAGTTCTGAAATTTGCTTATCATGAATTAGCTGTGGCAAAGCCACACAAATACGAGAAACAGCCTTGCTGGGCCATTTCACGCCTCCTGGTCTTGCCACTGCTGCATCTCAGAACAGCTACAGCAATACTTCGAGTAAGGTTTTTCTGTCTAGGAGCCAAAGAGAACGATCGCATCTTTGGGAACACACCCACATTTCCAGCCACTTTCTGATCAACTCCTGCACCACACTTAGGACGAGACACCTTCAATTTTTGTACGCAAAGAAAATCTTCAGAGAGAGTTTCAACAAGGGGCACTTAAACAAAGTTTCCTTCAGATTTTAATTGAGAGAAGTCAAAAGACTGGACTGCTAATCAAAACTCTGTGCTGGCATATCCTCCTAAAAGGAGGACTACATTTTCATATGAAAATTCATATTTGTGCACTGCTAGGGAATGCACAGCATTTCCACGTGGCAAATTTGGTTAATTTATTCAAGCTTTGATCAACTGAAAGAACAGACATCATAATTACAAACAGTGGTACCTCTTTTTATTAGTACAGACAATATAAGATGCATAGCTTTTGCAATGAAAAAACATGTCCATGCTCTAAGACACTGGATTAATGAAAGGTCCTCAGTGTCTGCCTTGGCCAGAGGGGCAAACTTCACAGTGTAAACTGATAATATAGGGATGATCATATGGCATTATTCATAAAACTCCCTGTTGATATTGTCAGACAAAAATCAGCAATAATTAAATAGGATGTGTTTAACCGCAGAATAGTTTCAAGTATTCAAGTCCTTATTTTTTTGGTTGTTTAAAACCATCTGCTTCCCCTGCTCCCCCCACTCCTTCCCAAAGAGGCACCAGCCACATGGGTGAAGCTAAAGAATGCTTTTTTGCAAGACACCTGAAGTTCTTCTAACGCAGAAATGCCTTCCCAGAAGCAAGACCAATTTTCCTTATTGCAATAGACAGTGGTAGGAATAATTTTACCTCTGCGAACATTACAAATACTTTTTTTTTTTTAAAAGCAATAAGTTATTACAAGAGAAGGTTAAGAAAGTTTTAACGTTATTTGTGGGAATAGGCAATGAAAGAAGACGACAGTCTCACCATTGCATAATTCTCCTCTGACAAACGTGGGAGAATGCACCTAAACCATTTTGTTCTTAGGCAGCCTGACTGCCAAAGGGCAGCTCCTGCACGTTAATCCTAGTTAGAAAGAGGCCTTACGAACTCTCCGATGAAATGCCGTTTCATGTATTTCAGTGGTTTAGCAGCAATCAGGTACTGACTTTGTCTACAAAGCCTACAAAGTGTCTGAGGCAGTCACCAGTTCAAACCACTGTCTGAGCGCATCACTGAGAGTTTCTGGAAGCGCGTTCACATCTCTAAGGATCATGTAGAATGGGAATGGGAATTCTTCCATGTAAGATCTGATTTCAGGCAATTCTCCAGGTCCTTTGAATATAGGTACTTTAATGTCCAAAATGGAATCCTGTAAAAAAAAGAATTGATAGGACTACTAAACCACATGCATCTTTTACGGGCCTTTGATATTATTTATCGTTTTTTTTCAAATACTTATAATTCCTCCTCTGTTAAATTAAAAATTAATAGAGAGTTTTAAGATTAAAAGCTGTAAGTGTTCAATGGCAAATCAAATAAAAAGCTGAACACAAAGCAGTTAAATGCTTTTGCCCTTTTAGATAAAAGTGCTCTAATCAATGAATTACAGGCTAGAAGAGACTAAGCTTAAGCTTCTGCAATACCACGTTCTATAAATAAATCCTGTCTTTCCTTAGTATTTTATGATTTGAGTTTACCGTTATCACTTTAGTTTTATTTATACATTTGATGCCTTTCCGTCACACTGTCATCTGTAAGCTTTTTAGGGCTAAGAGTTCAACCTGCATTTGTGCAGTGACCTAATGCAGCAAGATTCTTTAGCAAATTATTTTATAGTATTTCAACAAATACTACAAAGACAAAAATTAGATTAAACTCCAGCTGTGCTTCTTGTAAAGTAACTTCTTAGTTGCTCAGTGTAGCAGCTCAGAAAATTAATAAAGCTTATAAAAAACACATTTCTCTGCCCAGAATTTTCGCTTGACATTATAGCTAGGTTTCATCAGAACCTTATAATAGTTTGTCAGCAAGAGAATTGTTAATTTTCCAACAATAAATATAGCAGATGAGTTTTGTATGGAAAAATAAAGATACAGGAAGAAAACGTGAACTACAAAATTAAGAGTCTTCACCTAATTCAAAGTAAGGCTTAAGTTTGCTCATTTATTGCACCACAGAGTCTCCCTGAAAAGCTCCCGGATAAGTCAACTTCCCAACCAAGGAAATCTAACAGTTTTCTTTCACAGCTACCAAATAGAGTACCCAGCTTTCCCAATTCAGGCACTAAATAACTCTCATATACTCCTTTCTGCCTAATGTTTAATCTCATATTGGCTCCAGCTGCCATATCAAATGGAGATTGCTGTCAGAAATGATAAATTTGAATCAAAATTGAGGTGAACAAAGCATTTCTCAAACTTTAATTTGTCAACCTGCCAGCTACTTCTCTGGCGGCCAAAATCTACAACCATTACATTTGAAGACAGGAGCTCTTACTTAGACTTTGTGGCACAGAAGCTGATTTTTTTTTTTTTAATACAAGAGAGGATAAGCATCACAGTGGGGAGAAATCATAGAAGATCTGACAGACGTTGTGACAAACTGAAACTGGGCTAAATATCTTTGACCTCTGCGAAAGATAAGATAGCTGTAAAGAACTACAAAAGACAAAAAAAAGATTTGTATGTTTCTCATTCACTGCACTTGAAGACTTCTCCCTTGTTCACTTACTTACCCGGGAATTAGGATTGTCCAACACTACGAAAATAACAAAGATATTGGCATTCTGAGCGGCTTGAACTGCTGCTGTCACTCGTTCCTTGCCTTCCAAGAAAAGGCCTCTTCCATCAGATACAATCAAAAGCAGCTGCGCTGTTTCTGAGTACAAAGAACATTTTAAATTCCATTAAGTTAGAGTAATCCATTTAAAAGGCAAACAGACTATTTTGTGGTTAGTCCTGTAGGTATAATGGAAAAACCCTCAAGAGTACTCCTAAGGAAATTAAGTCTTTATCAAATAGAATTCTGTGACTTAACATTAAGCTGCAGTTACGAGTGGGTCAAGACAGACAGTTTTTCCCCACTGCGTGATACCATTGAGAATAACTGGGGAAAAAAACCAACCCAGTCCATCAGTACCATTATCAAGGATGAAAGGCATGGAAAGTAACTAATGAATTGTGTCATGGTTTTTC